GTGTGTGTGTGTGTGTGTGTGTGTGTGTGTGTGTGTGTGTGTGTGTGTGTGTATGTTTGTATGTATATATTTTCATACAACACCTCTTACCGGCAATGTAGTGCCTGACCGCAAAATTGAAGTCAGTCCTTTCCGTTGCAGTATTCTTCAGCGTATTGTAAAGTGCGCCAAACTTCACATCCCGCACACGTCCGTACAACACAACATTTACTTGCGTGTTGGTATTGCCTAATAAGGGAACGAACAGGTGGTCGAATTCGTAGACGGTCTCCGTCCTGTCGATAAACGTAATCGTCATGAGTACAGATATGAAAACGTAACCCACACGACCATATAGCCCAGCATCTACGCACGTTGTCGCCATCCTTAATGGACAAATACGTAGTGGAATTCGTATACTACCTTAGCCCTGGGAATATACGTAAGCTAAAGGAAAACGTAAGAATGGTGACGAACACCAATTGATACGCCCGGCCGCACTAAAGTGTACCTGCACAGTACAACCATTGTAACGTATGTATATGTACATCGTGTACGGTGTCTGCGTGTACACTAAGGCTAGCTGTAGGTGGTTGCAGGTCCAATCTGTAATACACCACAGCCCTTTCCGATGTATAGTGACCAACTTACTATGATAATTGTAACCGTAACAGAACAAACTGTAACTGAAGAATAAAAAGCTATAACTGAATTTATAGTAACCAACTGTAGTATGATACACTATAACCGTATTCTAATACAATCATAGTAATATTAGAAATTATCATTTTATAAAGACCCATAACAGCTTCATCATAAACTATAACCATCTCATTAATCCCTTATTATTATACCGACTGTGACAAGAACCATCCCATCCCCGAACCAACACCTCCCTTCTAACGTTCATGCAAAACGTATCCACAACCACTGCGTGTGCATGCTTTGTCTGTGGTGTATGTTTGTTCAGATGTGTTGTGTGCATACTTTGTCTGTGGTGTTTGAAAGTATTTACAACCACTGTGTGTGCATACTTTGTCTGTAGTGTGTGAACGTATTTACAACCACTACGTGTGCTCACTTTGTCTGTAGTGTGTGTTTGTTCAGATGTGTTGTGTGCATACTTTGTCTGTGGTGTGTGTTCGTTCAGATGTGATGTGAGTTCCTCTGCGGCACAGAATATCCGCTCGTCTGTCACCGCAAAGGCTGTGCATTGTCCGGTCTCTGTGGACAGGGTCTGTAGGGTTAAGGGGTGTGTGTAGGGTATAGGGTTTAGGGTTTAGGGTGTAGGGTTTAGACCTGCAAAATCGCAATCACCCGAACATCCGCACACTCGCGGTAGTACACACACATATGTATGCACACGTACACTAAAACACGCACAGATACAAACAAACACGCGCACACACACTTGCACGCACGCACACACGTACGCACACACACGCTCACTCGTGCACTCACTCACTCACTCGCTTACAAAGTCATGCACACACACGCACACATACACACACACGCACACATACACACACACATACACATACACATACACACATACACACATATACACACACACACATAAACACACACACACACACTCACTCACTCACTCACTCACACTCACTCACTCGCTCACTCACACTCTCTCACTCACTCACTCACACACACTCACTCACACACACTCACACACACTCACACACACACACACACACATACACACACTCACACACACCTGGTGAATGTGCTGGAGTGTCTGCTTTGCCTTAGAATTGAACAGTTCCACTGCGGGCGAGAACTCTCTGATAGCCAACGACAGTTTGAGCAACGGCAGAGTCTCGTTGCCTAGCAACGCCGCCGCATGGTCTAAGACATGCGTGTATTCGTCTGTGGCATTTTTTTTTGTGATAGATTTAAGTTTGTTGTAGTTCTGCGATGTGAACTAGCAATGTACGTACTTTCACCTGAACGTTAATAATGATGTGTTAATGTTAACATACCACATGTCTCGTGAGAGGTGTTGGTTCGTTGTGTTTGCAGCAACCGGCGCTCGGCCTGGCCAGGCTTTGAATGCGCCAGCACAATACGTTCAGTGATTCTATGTCGTATATACATGTGTTATATACAGGTACCATATACAGGGGCTATACACAGGTGCAATATATAGGTGTTACATATAGGTACAATATACACATACTATATACAGGTACTATATACTATACACACACTATATACACATACTACATACGGTACTGTGTGCCAGACCCACCAGCTATGTACACATCAAAAATGTACATGCAAGTGTACCACTATGCTCACCCCCACCATTACCATAACTAATAGTACTATGTGCGTGTGTAGCTATATTCACGCTATTGCTATCACAACTAATAGTGCTATTCATGTGCACACACGTGCGTGATTCCTTGGCCATACCTTGGTCTGTGGTGATGTCTGTAGCTGCGTCCGATTGCACTCGTTCAATGAATGTCCAGAACAAAGGAGCCGAAGTGTTGGCTACAAACTCACTGTTGAAGAATATCAATCCAATAGGTATATCCATTTTTAGCTCGTTTGTCCACTTTTAGCTAATAATTTTCTATTTTTAGCGAGAGAGAGAGATATATATATATATGTATGTATATATATATATATATGCATACATATATATGTGTGTGTGTGTGTGTGTGTGTATGTTTGAATGTATGTAGATGTCTGTGAGAGAGAGAGAGAGTGAGAGAGATAAAGAGAAAGAGTGTGTGTGTGTGTATGGCTGTATGTGCACATATATATATATATATATATATAGCATACAAGCGTATGTCTGTGAGTGTGATAGTTCACACCAGAAAGTATCTCAATACCTGCATTTTGAGACCACATTCATATGCAACAGGATTGAAGATACATATTCATTAACCTCTATGTATAAAAGGTCATATCATTCTATCAAATCATACAAACAGGTTTCAAATGAAGTGCACAAACTAGTCTTCGATAGTGAATGTGTGTACATAGGTAGATCCAAAGCGTACACTCCTATCTATGGGCAAGAACCCGCAACGGCAAACAGGACTTGATAACCAATACTATACTCGCATTTTTCAGCACATGCACACTCATAGATCCTAATTCTCAATTTAGCAACGCTTTGGCAATCGACCGCCAATACGTTCCCAATCACTTCTATTCACCGCCTCCCTCACATTCGCACTGAAAGCATGGCGCAGCCACGGCTGGTGTCACCACAGTCCAACTTTGAATCCAAATGATCTTGAACACTTAAGTGCACATGTACGTAAACAAAGGATACGGGTATCTAACAGCAACGATGCGAACGAATGCTTTAAAACTGACAGATTGTCAATGACTCACAATACACACGTGCACAGCTAAAAAACCACGAGCATGTGCCGTGACAGCCCAACTGCCGCGCTGCCGACATGTGCTCACACATATGTCAAGAGCGTCAACTGCTCACACTATAAACCTTATCTACTTACGCAGCTTCTAGTACAAGGGGAGTGGTATCCCAAGTAGCTCTAACCTCCACGTCTACGGGCACCATTGCCTGTGCGCCTAAGCACACGCATGCACACGATAGTGCTACACGATGCAGCATAGTGCCTTGGTTAGTATATGCGTCCGCCTGCGGCTGTTGTTGTAAGTGCAGTACACCTTTACGGATATGTGGGTATGTTCTGTGTGTAGTTATTCAATGATTGGCGTTGAGTGGTTGTGGTGTGGTGCAGTGGATGTAACCGGCTCTAGTATCCATACACTATTGGATTATTACAGTTTACATCTAAAATTGGGTGCAGATAGCAGCATGTGTTCATGTACTTTTATAGCTCATTTATACAAGTAATACTGCACATAGTACGTTAATAAGTATATGTCTGCTACTAGATGGTCTGCTATTTTATTCAGTGGGCAGTTGCAAAGTGTGTATCGACTGTTGGATGAGGCAGTATATATCGCTTTTGAAGTATTTATATCTGTTATTGTAGTAGTAGTAAAGTCTGAAAAGTGATTAGAGAGATTCGAGGGTTTGTCGTGACACATTCATTTGACATTTGACTGACACTTTGTGGTTCTCATATAGAACCTTTATTTTATACCTAATTTCATTTTAAAATTCCAATTTATTTTTTTCACATATTGTTCTAAAATTCGATATTATTATATACATACGCATACATAAATTGAAAGATAATCGGTTCCTGATTTTGACATTTTCGAATCGTTCTGAAAATATTAAGAGTCGGCTACTTGCCCCGTGTCTTTTGGGACTATGTACCTCGCGTTTCTCTTTTTCTAAAAGAACGGTTTAAAAAATTTGTTTTGCGTTAAAGGTAACCGTTTGTGCAATAAATAGTACAATCGGGATTTCAACCCAAGAGTGTGCAGTTTTATCTTTTTTACGTTAACAAAACGTACAAATTCTCATCATTTTCGAGTGTACGTTCAACGTCTACTGCATGGGTTTGATTTTGGACCAGCTCGCCAGAAAACTAATTATTGGGTTTCATGCGCAGGGGCCATGCACCTGTACCTGCCAAGTGCCAATCCCATGACATAATAAATACGGACACAAACATACATATATACTTCATAAATTCATATATACATATACGTATATAGATACATATATACAAACAGGTTTTGACCCACTTCAGGTGTCATTCATACAGTGCTAAGTAAACTGATCTGATAGCGCTATATCAAAGCAGGTTTACGCTAGTTAGTGCCTCCATAGAGAGCCCAAAAAATACCTCGCAGGCTCCTCCGGACACATCGTGGCAGGCTAGTCCCACACGGGTACGTGACACACACACACACACACACACACACACACACATACACACACACACACACACACACACACACACACTATACGCATACCACAGCATTCGGCGCATATTGACATAGAAACATGAATGCTGTCACCATCATCTCGCGTGCGACTAGGGGTGCGCGCTCAGCACTCAATAGCGAAGCGCTGATTGCACATCGTGTGTGCTACACCACAGACAGTTCATCAGGAGACAACAACACACGCAAACCACCACCACGAACTACGCCACCACAATCAGCTGCGCATGGACCCAACTCAGCAGGTAAACCGAACCAAGCTACACCGAATCAACCACGCCCGAGCCCATTTTTTAAAACAAACTCGCCTCCTCAGCAAGGTAATGCGGGTGCAGGTGCCAACCCAGGCAACTCAGGACCCAGAAAGTTCACGCAGTTCCCAGGCAACACAGACCGGGTCTTTAACCGGCCACAAGGGGGGGCTGTCGGGGGTGTACAGGGAGGGTCCGTAAGCTTCTCCAATCCCGCACGCGCCTTCGTACCACCCGGGCGTGAGCCTGGGGCGGGAGGTGCACCCAACAACTTCAATCTGCAAAACCGTGGAGGTTTCAACCAGAAGGTCGGCACCCAGGGAAACCCTGGGGCAGGCCCTGGGGGCTATGCTTATTCTCAGCGCTCAGCCCAGAGCAACTATCAGGCACCCAGCAATCGACCCGGATTGGGCCCACCCGCTGTGGTATGTTGTGTGTCGGTATGCCTTGTGGCTATTACATGCGATGTATGTATATATATATATATATATGTGTATGTATGTATGTATGTATGTATATGTATATATATATGGGTGATCTGTATCCGTTTCTGTATCTATATATATGTGTGTGTGTGTATCTGTGCCTTTGTCTGTGTCTGTGTCTGTGTCTGTGTGCATAAGTGTGCTTGTGTGTGTGTGTGTACGTGTAGTTTTTGTGTGTCTTTGTTTTTATATCCATATCTATGTTGATATTGATATAGATATATATTACTGTGTGTGTCTGTATTTATTTAAGTATTTATATATATATATATATATGTGTGTGTGTGTCTGTATTTTATTTTGATATTTGATATAGATAAATATTTTCGTGTGTTTGTGTGTTTGTGTGTTTTCGTATATATATTTATATATATATGCGTATGTGTGTGTGTATTTGTACGTGTCTAGAAAGATATAGATAGACAGATAGATATACGCATATATATATATGTATATATCTGTGTGTGTGTGTGTACAAGTGAAATAGTGTGAGCACCTGAGGATCATCATAAAAGGGACCAAATGTACTGATGTTTCTAGTCACTGTCTCGTATTGCATAGGCTGCGTTGTTTGCATAATATGAGTCATGTGATCACTATTGAACTGTTAAGCGGTCCATACGTTGTTCAGCAATATCCTAAAACACGCTGACTAGGTAACGTGCAGACTCCTCCCGACAATGGCCCACTTTGGTTGTTCTTTGTATGTGCTGTGGTCGGTATAGTCAGGAGCCTCTGTGAGAGTATGCTACTTGCAATTTTATATATAAATTTATTTAACAAGTTAAATGGTAAATGTTTGTCCTACGTCATGAACTAAGTTTTTTTGGCCATGGATACCTTTATTTGTATTTTTGTTTATTTAGTTGATACTTCAATGGAATATCTTCGTAGGCTTGGTTGTTCTCATTTCATCTCTGCATTTCAGATGTAATTGATAGTGCATGCAAGAGTTGCCGTTGTCTTTGACTGGATCGTGTGCGGCAGTTCACTACAGATACTAAACATCCACATATAACAAGACTCAACGCCAAACATCAGAATATATATGCAATAGGACAGACATGCACATTTATAGTTATATGTTTTGTATGCATGTGTATCTATAGTTATATGTTTTGTATGCATGCGTACCCATGGTTGTACGTTATATATGCATGCGTATCTATAGTTGTACGTTTTGTATGCATGCGTATCTATAGTTATACGTTTTGTATGCATGCGTATCTACAGTTATACGCTTTGTATACATGCGTATCCATAGCTGTACGTTTTGTATGGCGCTTTGTATGCATGCGTTTTCTATGCTGCCGTTATTGCCTTCGCTCCTGAGCGCCCCTAAGGATCTGACTGTCGTGAACACATCGGTTTGAAGTGATATGACGATATGCAGAGCTGGCTTTTTCATTGGTTTGAAGTGATATGACGATATGTAGTGCTGACTTGTTCATCGGTTTGAAGTGATATGACGATATGTAGTGCTGACTTGTTCATTGGTTTGAAGTGATATGACGATATGTGGTGCTGGCTTGTTCATTGGTTTGGAGTGATATGACGATATGTAGTGCTGACTTGTTCATTGGTTTGAAGTGTTATGACGATATGTATTGCTTGCTTGTTGTACGCGTAGGTGTGTTGCTTCGTGTGTCTTTGACATTCTGTAGCATAGTATGTGTATGAGTCCATCTGTGCGTTAGATATCAAGTACGTGTGCGGCTATGCAGATGTACGCAATTCGGGAAACATATATGAACGCGTTCACCCTTACTTCAACTGTATCTATGTGTCTCGCCTCGACTTCTAAGTTTGGGTATCATTGAATGAATGTGATAAACAGATGAAGTTCTCAGACATTCTGAACTCACGCTCGGTCTCTCGCCATACCAAGAACTGCACACACTTTTGCAAATATATATCTATACTATATCTATATCTATATGAAGTTATAGTTTATGTGTATAATTAATTTATTTGTATAATAATTTTACACATATATATAACTATTATACACTAATATATGCTAACACATACTGCCTGTTGATTGTTGTATATACCGGTATATATACATTTCACGTTCTCAAGTGCTGTGATGTTGGTTCTCTCATATTGCTCTACGTTTTGTTGTGTACGAGTCCAAGACATTCGAAGCAAAACTTGTGCTACAACCATGCTATGCAATTCGATAGCGTATACGTATCTGTTGTTACTAGTCACCAAGAGCGCGTGTGTAGCTCATCAATTCAATACGTGCGACGTGCTATTATATCCGTACAGTAGTATGTACGTACATACAGTAGTGCCCCAACTAGTCCGGCTCTAGTACACGTCACTTTCCCTTGTTTTGAACATGTATACGTTTTAATCAATGGGTTTCAACACAACAAACAGACCCGCGCGAATGGTGGGGTGGCGAATAAGCGTTACATCAAAGTGCAGGAGAAGAAGAGCTGTCCCATCTGCTCCAACGAGGTCGAGTTTGACTTCAGGCACGTCAATTTCCTGTCACAGTTTGTCACGGAACATTCTGGCATGATCTTGCCCGCTCGCCTCACAGGTAAGCCTTACATCTGCATATATATATATATAAAGCCTAGCACCCTACACTATGGCAACTTATCAGGTCCTAATTAAGTATTGCATCATTAATCGCATATCAATGTGCATGAGTGTTATAACCATGTGTGTTGGCAATGTTAACGTCCCTGTGATGTTCTTCTGACCGTTATTGCTACTGTTCTGTTATATTGAACGTATTGATATCGTAATCAAACACGTATGTATACCCTGTTTCGTTCGCCTTCTGAGGAGGTCTAGCCACTAGTCATGGATCACAAGTTGGCTTCATGGAAGTGTGCTGTCTACTTCTTACACTTAATTCCATGCTTTGCTCGTACATGTGGTTGTTGAGCATTGGTCAGCCCAAACTAGTTGATCTCTGTACACCTGTATACCTGAATGAAGTTCATATGCATAAACCTCGCTTGTAATTTCAAACCCCTAAACCCTGATAATCCTATGCAAGTGACGCAAAGCACAGTATAACGGGGCCATTGAACCCATGTCCTATATTGAATGTTGGCGGGGTGTCCTTTCCGTTTAACCATACCGTTGTTATCCGCAAACAGTTGTGTACTGAGGGATATTCCCGTTAGCATGTGTACGATAGGGGGATGTCTTGTGTATCTGCTTGTACCTGTACAATGCGTTATAATCCGGCACACTTCCATGCGACACCTAAGTTCAACGTTTATTTCTCTTTCTTTATTGTCTGCAGGCGTTTGCGTCAAATCCGACACCTATGTTTAACGTTTATTTCTCTTTCTCTTTCTTTCTTATCTGCAGGCGTCTGCGCCAAGCAGCAGCGCAAGTTGGCGAAGTGCATCAAGCGCTCGCGTGCCATGGGCCTCATGTCCTTCACTGGACCAACACCAGGCATAGCTGACAACCTGCCACGCATGGGCTAATGGGCTAGGAGAACTGTGGGAAACACGACGCAATAAAGCAACTCATACTCACGATACACTGGCACATACACATGAGCAATAAAGCAACTCATACTCACGATACACTAGCACATACACATGAGCAATAAAGCAACTCGTACTCATGATACACTAACACATACACATGAGCAATAAAGCAACTCATACTAACGATACACTAACACATACACATGAGCAATAAAGCAACTCATACTCATGATACACTAGCACATACACATGAGCAATGAAGCAACTCATACTCATGATACACTAGCACATACACATGAGCAATAAAGCAACTCATACTCACGATACACTAGCACATATACATGAGCAATAAAGCAACTCATACTCACGATACACTAGCACATACACATGAGCAATGAAGCAACTCATACTCGCGATACACTAA